TAAATTTGAGATTACTTTTCATTTTATGAAGTATTAATTATGGAAAAATGAATGCCATTGCAGTAAATATTGCTTTTCCAGCCTGCAAGAATTTTCTTTGTTTATCGCACATACTTTTACATTGCATTACGAGCGGGAGGAAATATCACGAAATAAATTAGTATCGAAAAGAAAAGTTCTGAAAAAATTGGAATAAGTATTTAGCGAAAAAGCACAGAATCTGACACCGTTGATTTTTCAGTTTCCAATTAAAGTTTGGGCTAATTTTAGGTCTTGCTCCCCCTCTTCAAGTACATAAAATTAGATTTTGTCCCCCTCCTCTGGATTCTCAACACCACTCCTGATAAATATTACGCAGTCCCTAAATAATACTTACTATGAGTATCATAAATGACTCATCATGCTCTTGTGTAAAGCATACGTGTTTATACTTATTTTTCCATATTGCTAATTTTTTTTGCGTGTAGGAAAAAAAATAGTGTTAGTCAAACAAATGGAAACAAAAGCATTTTCATAAAATAATGCAAAATAACATTACAAACGTTTCACGCTTTAACTAAAAGCACTAACTGTAGGCCCCTTCGCGCTATTTACAAATTTTGTAACCAAAGTAAACATAAATTAATCCAGTCCTTGAAATACTGACCAGTATTCTCAAATTGCCATTAATTGCAAGCGGGATTTCGAATTTATGTGAAAATTGGTTGTTTACTCTATTCAGTATTTTCTGTCCTAGAAGAATAGAAATGGCTATTCTTATAGAATTAATGCCTTTTTGGACATTGCAATTGTATGTTAAATTTTCCATAATTTAGAGATTAATTTAGAACGAGAATCGACCTAATAACTTTGCGATACCAGTGCAACAGACTTCCACTTGATCTATCTAACTGCCATAGGGGTAAGGTCGTAATTTCCTATAAAGGTCTGTCCAAGCTTAACTATACGTTTATACGTACCCGGGGGGTATTTACCAAAACAAACATGCTTGTGAGGTGTGTTTAATACAGGGTCTGAATGGGGTTAACTGTTAACTGAGAAACGGCTAAAATAATAACTGTTAACTGAGAATATCGGGTTTATTTAGCTGATAACTGATATTAACAAGATAACGGTTAGCTGATATTCCTTTGTTTGCACATGTTTTGCATGTAGGTGAACCTTGTTCCCAGGGCTTCTCTGTTGTTGCTGCTTTGTTTGTTTTTTCAAAAATGGCAGACAGAGATAGCCCTGGTATAGGCCGGTCACGTGACACCGACTCTAGGTGGGTGTTTAGTTTGGAATACCGCTGAATGCAGGCGCCAGATCAAATATGACACAACAACGATTCAGCAATCTCACTCTACTAAATAAATCTATTATTGAATTTGAATTGTCACGATCAAAAATGCCTTTTTTCATTGTTAGGTTACGGAAAATTTCCGTAAAATGAATGCATCATATATGTTCTTGCTCTCAAAATGCTGGAAATCGCATTTCCGAGGTGAATGCACCCGTACCCCCTAAAAACCTCGCGCCCCCAGATAATCAACCGCTCCTCGGTCCCTGCCTGGCTATCACGTTTGATATCAACTTTATGTCACGGCATAGATATAACTGCTGATGCATTTTAAAAAGTTGACTTGATCAAAGCCATCTATCATCGTTATGAATGGTGAAAGTATTAGCTTGCTACTATAGAAAAGGGGAGGAGGTACACTTTGAGAGTTATCAGAGTTCCAATATTGACTACAGTGTTCAAAGCTCGGTATTAAAGCTGAAGAAACATTTGGGGAATTTTATTAGCCTGAAAGAACAGACTCCACTGGTAAAACGTACTTTTCTTAATAACTGAATATTTAGTTATTAATTATTACACAAAAATAATAATTAACATGTGGCTTAAGGTTACCCCGGACACTATTTTCGTCAAATCTTTCAAAATTTTTAAATTAGTCTGAGCGAATTAAAAGAAGTATATCTACAACTTTGACTAAAGTTTATGCCGATGTGTTTTTTTCTAAACTAGTTATAAACAAGACACACTTTTGCAGAACAATGCCTTGGTAACAGGATTATCAAAAAAGTTTATCTTTCTACGTAAAACTTTCTGCAAACGAATCTCTCGCGCGGAGACACTGTGTTCTCGTCAAGTCCTTGATGTCTTTTAAAATAATCAATTTTATCAAAAAATACGTCCAGATATGGATTCTTTGTCATTTTCTTTCTCAGAAAATGTATAATTTTTGCGGGTTTCCTATTAAATCGCGCGAGATATGATTTTTTTTTAAACACCTCCCGGTAGTGTCCGGGGTAACCTTAACTGAGAACTGAGAAATTTAACTGAACTGAGAAAATTGCCAAAATTTAGCTGTTAACTGATATCGGAACCCCCCCCCCCCCCCCATTCAGACCCTGTTAATAGAGTGCATGCCTTCTTATGTCTGAAAATATTGTTAATCGTAGTGATTACCACACCCGTCGTCTTATTATCTGAAGCGAGATGCATCTATTTGCTGCAACCACGGTAAGAACGTAGCAGCTCAATGTCTCCTTCTACTCTTGGGATAAAGTCTGACCACATGATAGCATTTCCTTCTCCAAAAGAGCATGA